CAACCGATGATGGTGACAGCAGCAATGAACTAGCAAAAGACTGTCCAACTGTGCTTTGCTTTGATGCCACACTAAAGACTAAAACTGCTGATGACGATTTCTTGCTCTCTCTGCTAAGAAAAGAAGTCGATAAGGACACAACTGACGATGGTGATACTGGCAACAAGCTTTCTGAAGATGCTCTCAGTGTGCTTTGTTCTGCTGTCACACTAGACTCTATTGTTGCAAACAGGGAGCTGCTGCTTTCTCTGCTACTACCCACAGTGGACGATGGCACAAACAATGAAGGTGACACGAACTCTGATCTCTCTGAAGACAGTTTGACTGTGCTGTGCTCTGATGGCAGACTGGACAGACTGGAAACTACTATTGAAGATGTCGATCTCTGGCTTTCTCTGCTCAAACTCAAAGTAGGCAAAAATGCTACCGATAAAGGTGATCCCAACACTGACCTTTCTGATGACACCTCAACTGTCCTTTGCTCCGAAGTGTTACTGGATTCCACTATGGAGGATGGAGATACACTGATTGAACTGCTCACATCAAACGTCGACGATTTCATTACCGAGGATGGCCCTTCCAGCAATGACTTCTCTGAAGACGCCTTCACTGTACTCTCATCCGATGCCAAACTGGACACTATTACTGGTGATAACGATCTGCTGCTTTCCCTGCTAATATAATCACTCGACAATACTGCAACCGATGATGGTGACAGCAGCATTGAACTTGCAAAAGACTGTCCAACTGTGCTTTGCTTTGATGCCACACTGGAGACTAAAACTGCTGATGACGATCTCTTGCTCTCTCTGCTAACAACAAAAGTCGACAAGGACGCAACTGACGATAGTGATACTGGCAACAAGCTTTCGAAAGATGCTCTCAGGGTGCTTTGTTCTGATGTCACACTGGACTCTCTTGTTGCTAACAGGGAGCTGCTGCTTACTGTGCTACTACCCACAGTGAATAATGGCACAAGCAGTGAGGGTGACACGAACTCTGATCTTTCTGAAGACAGTTTCACTGTGCTGTGCCCTGATGGCAGACTGGACAGACTGGAAGCTACTATTGAATATGACGATCTCTGGCCTTCTCTGCTCACACTCAAACTAGGCGAAAATGCTACCGATGAAGGTGATCCTAACACTGACCTTTCTGATGAAACCTCCACCGTCCTTTCCTCCGATGTCTTACTGGATACCACTATGGAGGATGGGGATACACTGATTGGACTGCTTACATCAAAAGTCAACGATTTCACTAACGAGGATGGCCCCTCCAGCAGTGACCTCACTGAAAATGCCTTCTCTGTACTCTCATCTGATGCAAAACTGGAC